ATTTATAAATATTATACTGTATATTATCAGCTCAAATGTTTGCTAGGGGGTTTGCCTTTATTTTCTGACTTTTTTAATGACCCTGAGAGAGGTCGAAAGTACTATTGACTGCAAATAATGATAATAATAATACTGTAATAATAATAATAATAATAACAACCCCTTTGAGAAAATTACAGCATGTCAACCCAACTCATTCTCAAGATTTGACTGTGACTCCTAATTTAAACTCTACAGTTAAAAAGGTACTTTTCATTTTTTCATATACAGTAACTGAACTGATTTTTAGTTGTGTGTGTATAGATAGACAGATAGATAGATAGATAGATAGATCTTCCTCCGATCTCAGTGTTTCTTCATCAGATCTCAGTGTTTCTCATCAGATCTCAGTGTTTTTCATCAGATCTCAGTGTTTCTCATCAGATCTCAGCATTTCTCATCAGATCTCAGTATTTCTCATCTGATCTCAGTTTCTCATCTGATCTCAGTGTTTCTCATCAGATCTCAGTGTTTCTATTCTGCTCTCAGTGTTTCTCATCAGATCTCAGTGTTTCTCCAGCAGATCTCAGTTTCTCATCGGATCTCAGTGTTTCTCATCAGATCTCAGTGTTTCCTATCTGATCTCAGTGTTTCTCATCTGATCTCAGTGTTTCTCATCAGATCTCAGTGTTTCTTCATCTGATCTCAGTGTTTCTCATCAGATCTCAGTGTTTCTCATCATATCTGAGTTTTTCTCATCACAGCTCAGTGTTTCTTCAGCTGATCTCAGTGTTTCTCATCAGATCTCAGTGTTTCTCATCAGATCTCAGTGTTTCTCCAGCGGATCTCAGTGTTTCTCATCAGATCTCAGTGTTTCTCGTCAGGTCTCTGTGTTTCTCATCAGATCTCAGTGTTTCTCCAGCGGATCTCAGTGTTTCTCATCAGATCTCAGTGTTTCTCATCAGATCTCAGTGTTTCTCGTCAGGTCTCTGTGTTTCTCATCAGGTCTCAGTGTTTCTCGTCACGTCTCAGTGTTTCTTCATCAGATCTCAGTGTTTCTTCTTCAGATCTCACTGTTTCTTCAGCAGATCTCAGTGTTTCTTCATCAGATCTCAGTGTTTCTTCTTCAGATCTCACTGTTTCTTCAGCAGATCTCACTGTTTCTTCATCAGATCTCAGTGCTGCTGCTGGAGTTTTTCAGTGGTCACTGTGCCTTTAAGAGCGCGCGCTCTAGGGTGGCGCTTTCCTCCGCAAGGGCTTCTTGATATTAATAGTGTTGGTGTCTTGAAACTGACGTAATGCTTGGAGTCTGAGGTCCTGACAAGCGATAACATTTCTGATAAAGAACTGAGATCACTGCAAAAACCAACCCTCGTTTCTTCCACCCCAGACTCAGGCGTTTTTACTATTAAACACAGTCTCCCAAGATTTCACGTGTACAGGAGCAATTCGCAATCTTACATCCCCATAAAAAAGAAATCATTCCCCGAGATCAACAAACAAACAACACAAAGACGCTTCATGGCTCACGCCAAAGCTCCACCATCTTTCAGACTGCAAAGACTATTGCAATTTAATCAACAGGTAAGGAGAAAGCGAATCAATGAAGAACGATGTGCTTTTAGCTGTAGTTCCTGATGAATGTTATGTAATGTTGAGAATGATGAATCAGTTGAGTGCTACTTTGTGACGAAAATAAGAGCTATGCTCTTCGGATTTCGAATTTTGAGGCTAAATTGCAAATTGAAATCGGCGACATGTTACATTGTATCTCCCAGTAGTTGAGAGAAAAGATTACTTTTTCCTTCCCATTTCTTTTCAGCCATTCTGTGTTGCAATGCGTTTTGCGCAACAGAATATCCACAATGTAGCAATTTCTCTTGTACGTTTAAGCCGCGAGGCGCCTTTTATTTGCATTGTTTATGCGTCGCAAGTAGCTAACCGGATCCTGAGTAAAGTTATAGAAAGTTTCATTGGTGTGTAGGCTACTGTTTTTGCGTAAATGATGCTGAATGGCGCTTTCCACACAAACTTAGAAAACTTTCCGTATCTGATGATGTACGATAAGAAAACGCGTAGGCATGGCAACGCACTGAATGTTATATTTTCCACACACAAAGAGGCACAGGTTGTTTACATGACAGTCTACGGATGTTATATCGCTATTTTTGCGTCTTTATTCGATGGCAGGTTGCGAACAGACTTCTTTCTGTTGTTTCATTGCGTCCTTCGAGGCTATGGAGACGAGCGGCAAAAGTTTATTAATAGCGGTAACGAGTGTTTCTCATTTGGATGTGTGTTTCTTTGTGAATTGATAACTAATGGAACGACTTTATATTTGTTTTGTGGAGAACTTTCACACTTAGGTGTGTGTGTGTGTGTGTGTGTATGTGTGGGGGGAGGCTGTAGTTCTCAAAGTTTCTTGTGGCGTGATGGAGCTTATCTAAAAACTTTTCAAGGAATTTAAATAACCCTCTAAAATGAAGGCATGTATATAAATTGTACCTTTTCTTTTTGCATGCGCAGAAGTCCTTTTCTTGTTGACGTTATCCATCAATAGAAACTTTTTTTGAGTGAGTATACAGACAATACATACACACTTAATATGTCTTCTAGTTATGTGTGTATTCATATCATATAAGATCCATTTTTGTGTGATATGTGAATAGTTTGGATGTTCTGCAACTAGAGACAGGCGATTATATCACAATGCAATCTTTCATATCATTCGATATCGATAATTAGCACAATAAATGCCACATTTTTATTCATTTCAAGTTTAAAGGCAGATTGTTTTGCTCCTAAGTGAAAGTTGTAGAAGCCAGACTATTAATTGTGGTTTTAAACCACTCTTTATTGTAAGAACATGACACAAACTTTACGTTTTTAAACTTTTCCAGCCATTTTTACTTAACAAATTAATTTCTTATAGTTTCTGCATGTGCTAACAGGTGATATTGTTTGAAGGATTGTGTTTTATTAGTTATGTGTGTATTCATATCCTATACTTTTTGTGATATATATATATATATATATATATACTGTATATTGTTTGGACGTTCCTCAGTTCTGCAACTGTGGTAATGTTTCCAGTTAATTTGGTTTTACAATCACTTTCACATTAGAATGTCTTTAAGTGTGTGGAAACAAGTTTTTATCGTAGAACTGATAAAATCACCCACACTTCACTTAAATGTGCCGTACCGAAGCGTAACCTGTATATCTGATTGTTATGATACAAATTCCCATGTTGGTTCCAGTAGATGAGTTGAGATGTTTCCTGTAAACTGTGAAAGTCGCCACACTCGGGCAGTCTGGAAATGATATGCTCTCTATTTCTGTCTTGAAATGGTTTGTCGGTAAATGTTTCTTAATGACAAAGCCCGTGCTGGCTCATCATTTAGAGAAACTCTCAACTGTACACATAGTTTCAGATACAGTCAACAGGGAATCTCAGCTCTGTTATCATCAGGCTTCTGCACTCACAATCACTTTATCTGGTAACACTTTACAAAAAGGTTCATTTTTTTAACATTAGTTATGTATTAACTAACATGTACTAACTGTACTTTGTTAAAGCATTTATTAATCGTTGTTAATGCTAGTTAAAAAAGTTCATTTTAGTTCACAGTGCATTGACTAATGTTAACAAATACAATATTTGATTTTAATAATGTATTAGTAAATGTTGAAATTGCCATTAACTAAGAATAATACATGCTGTAGAAGTATTGTTAATTGTAATGTGATAACTAAAGTAGTTAACTAATGAAGTGCTACCTTTTATCTGAACTCTTTTTACAGTTGCATGACTATTTTCTAAAATCTTTGAGGACTTTAAAAAAGTATTTTTGAGCATCAAAAATATCGACCGATATTGATTTAAAAAAATACACCCGATACCGATATATTTGCATGTTTATGTGCCTGATAACCGATATTTATGCATTGGTTTATTTCTGTTTTTGTTCTGTTCAAAAGCACTGAACTGAACAAAACACTTAAAATCTTTCATTTCTGCACTCCCTTCTTGCATACAAAACAAAACACAATTTGACATCAATAAATACTGCAAAAATAAATAAATTTATAAATAAATATATATATATATATATATGCTGTCACTTAAGTGTCATTGTTTTAAATAATACATTTTATCAGATACGAATATAGCATGTAAAATTTATTCTAACAAATAAAAAAAGTTCTTAGTTTTTAGTCATTTTACACGTGTAACAGTCTAGAGATCAGAAGAAAAAAAATCTCTATCTGCTTGGAATATTATTTCATTCCTTGTTCATCATGTGATACACGTAAATATGCGAATATGGATTCAGCGGTTTACTAGATTCAGTTCTCAGTCCGCACAGAAGAATAAGATCCACATGAGTTGTCTGATAAGGCGCGTTTGAAGTGATTGAAAAGCTTGAGGTGTATTTGAAATGTAAATGACTCCACATCTGTGAGCTCTTTGGAGAGAGGCAATAGATCAGCGCTGTATAGTCAGGAACTTTACGGCTGACAAATGAATTTGGGCCTTGGTGGAGGGAGAAAGCAGCAGTGGGGGTCTTGCATTTGTTCTTCGTGGCTTCTGAGTTTGCACAACTTCTTTTTGGGATAACTTCTTGCCGTACCGAGATTTGCCACTTGTGTCCCAGATTCATGTGGCGTTGGTGCCGTTGAATAAAAAGCCTGTAGAGAAAATAAATTGTAGGGAACCCTCTTTTTTTATGACAGAGATAGAGAATGGCTCACGCTAGTGTTTGTGTGTAGGTAATGACTACAAAAGTTACTTTTTTTTACTTTTAGAAAATATATGCATACATTTGTATTCATTTGTTGCTCCAAAGTGAACACAAACAAACTTATAACTAAGTCTGAATAACTTATAAGGACTGAATAAGTTTTGTTTTGTGATTATGAAACTCAAAATGTTTCTTTTTTAAAAGTGTGTAGGAACGGCACGGTATTATATTTGAAATGTGATGCATCAGTGACTTTATAGAAATTCCTTTTTTGTGTTGTTTTTTTTTTCGTGGTTAGAAATCTCCAAAGACAGGAAACTTAAGAATATTGTTTTTGTAGTCGCCTGATGAAATGCCAAGGTTTACAAAGAGACAGCTCCTGATAATTGGTGCCCTTAAAAGCTTTTATAACATATATTTGATGTAGCCTGCATATGAATAGCTTGTCTTTTTTTTTTCCTCCGGATTTTCAAGAATAAAAGAGCCGCAGTTCACAGAGGTCGTCCCTTGTCTCGTCATATGCTTTTCATCCTGTTTTTAGCAGTCACTAAATGGCTCTGGATATGTGCTGTAGACTTGTTATGGTGAGTTATAGCAGATATATTGTAAGACTTGCCATCGCCATTGATTTTCTCACTAAACTTTCATGCAACATGAATGCATTTGATGCAAAATAACTAGAAAAGTGTGTTTTTGTGTGTATGGTTTATTAACTGCCTTTGAATTTCTATTTCATTCATTTCTAGTTGGAATGAAACACTAGGTTTAGCTTTGAATATTGTGTTTTGATGGCTAATTCTTACATGTCACACATGCATCTGAAATGTTTTTAACGACTCCCCCAGATAAGAGACGGTTTGGGTCTCCGACTCTGTCAGAGCTGTTTGACATCACTTGTTAGGCTAATTATGTGGTGTGTAATATTTTAGTGGTTAGCGTACATCTGGTAAAGTTTGCTGACTGAAAACTCTCGTATTCCCAGTAGAGTAGTAGGTTGCACTGCAAACGAAGAAAAAGTCAAAGTTCCCCTAAATCTTCATTCTTACTCATTGACAAAACTCTTTTTTTTGTTGTTGTTGAGGAATTAAACAACTGACATTTTTTTTTTGCATATGCAAGATAAACCTTTTATTGGTCTTTGTGGTTTTTCAAAGCTAGCGGTTCCCGTTAGGCTAGCTTTTCATATGAGTTGGCATGAAAAAAACATGAAAAAAGTATTCGTTTGCTTCAAGGCTGTGTGCTCAGCTTCATATCACACACTTTCTGAAGGTTTTGGAGCCAGCATTGCCCACTTCCTCTCCTCCCCATTCCGATGTGCCGAGTTTAGTTCATCCGGCGATCCTCTGGAACGCTGATGAGTCTGTTTAGCCTTTTTCTTTCTTTCTTTCTTTTCTTTCCTTGCTGTCACGGTGTGTGTTCTTTTACCTCGCAACAGGTCTTTATTTTGCTTTTTTCGTCTCTCCAGTCTCCATCTCTGAATGTTCTCCATCTGTGTGGTCTGGAGGCTGACTATTGCTAACCTGACACAGGTTGGACAGAATGAGTCGAAGAAAAGGTTTGTAGGGGGGAGGGGTTACGGTGGTGGGGGAGTTTTCCTTGAGAATGTTTGTTTTCCTGTTTCCAATTTGGTCGGCCAGAAGGCCCGTACTGTCAGAGCTCCCATTCATGAAACCTGCTGTCAGACCGCCTGAGTACATGACACAGAATTTCTCTCTGCGTGTATTGTGGTGTCCATGGTAGATCCTTCTTTGCTTCTTTAAAATGACTGAACCGTTGCTGTTTACCCTTCTCGCTGAACATGTGTGGTTTTGTTGTTGCAGTGATCGAGAAGAACGCTGTGGTTTGGTCACCCATCGCACCCAGGATCATCTGCACCTGTGAGGTCTTCTGAGAAAAGGAAGTACGGGACGGCGCATTTCACGAGCGACGAGTAAAAAACTTTGTGAACACTGTGGGGGAAAAAAATGGAATGATTCCCAGGCCGGAATGGATGTGGAATAAAGGATACCTCGGAGGGCTCCCCGGGGAAGGGTCTTTGGATACTCTGCCAGCTTTGATATCAGCCTCCCTGTTGGATTTGAGTGTGATAATGCTATAACCCAATGCTTAACAGAGGTATGTATACGTGCCATTGTGTGTTATGAAAACGCAGGGATTTCTGGCGGTGTGGTTTTCCATGCAAGTCATGTAGCACGTAAGGGCAAAGGACACGATTTTTGTGTTGGGGTGATGTAGCTTTAAGACCTTATTTATGGTAACTTTTAACCCAATATTCCTGTAGTTCAGGGCAATAATCTAGACCGCTAGATAGCTAAAGCTGTTAAACTGCTTTGATCTTCAGGAAGGCCATCATCCCCTGCTTTGGCGTTTATTACGTGGAACAGTAGAATTTACTGACTTTCTTTTTTTGCATATATGTGGGTTTTCTCCAGGGAAATAAGAGGCCACACAAGCAGTATTTTCTTTTTTTGTGTTTTGTACATTTGTGGACCAGGTGATACTGTGGTCTGCCACTGTGTTTGTGGAACGCTGGACTTGCTTTCATAGCTCATAAAAAAATACGCTTAGACGGATATAGATGAAGTTAACTGTTTGTTTTTGTACGTGCATTCATTCTTATAAATGGTTGGTTATCCAATGTGTCAACTAAAATCAAAAATAAATAGTTTGCATTAGTTGGGTTTTGTGTTTTGTATCACAAATCGTCATAATTGCATTAAACGTTGGGAATTTTTCATTTGGATTTTAAAAGTGGTTTGCCGCATGGTTTTCAGTCGAGCTAATAACGTAGAAATGCAAAGATCTGAACTTGTAAAAGCGTCCGCATTCTTTGCGGTCAGTAGTCCTTCTTAAATGAGGTAATCTGAGAGTGTGTTATAGATGGCTGTTTTCTCCTGTGCCGAAATCTACTGTATAATAAACGACCTGTAACGGCCAGTGATTAGGGGATCCTGTCTTTGTGATCGCTGCCACAGTCGTGTGCCCGGCTGTTTCAGCAGATTTGCGTAATGTTAAACACATGCCATCTTCTTCAGTCTGGATTTCAGGGGAAAACCTGCCGTCTGGGATGGTAAAATGTGCTTGATGGTTTCGGTTTGTGTTAGGCGTGGGGGTGAAGCTGAATGCAAAGATTAACCCCATGGATGCTTCACCCTGAGCTACGACACAGGCTTCTGGGTCAAGGGTGAGTGCGAATATGGGGATCCAGGGGCCCCTGATGGGGCTTACAGGGCTGTAATGCGTTTGTTATTTTTTTTTTTTTTTTTTTTAAACAAATTGTTGCTTGTCTTTCTCTTAATTTTCATGTGCTTTACTGAAAATAATAGGGCTGTCAAGTGATTAATTGCGATTAATCGCATCCAAAATAAAAGTTTGTGTTTACATAATATATGTGGGTACACTGTGTTATATATATATATATATATATATATATATATATATATATATATATATATATAAATACGCACACATGCTTGTATATATTTAAGAAATATTTTCACTGTATATAGATTTATATATAATTTATATTATATATAAATATAAATATTTTGTATGTAATTAATATATTTTTTAAATATTTTTTATAAAATAATTACACACAGTGCATCCACATATATTATGTAAACACAAACTTTTATTTTGGATGCGATTAATCGCAATTATTTGTTTGACAGCCCTAGAAAATAATTCTTAAAAATGTTGCACTTTTTTTTAAAATAGGTTTCACATTTTATTAATTTGAATCATCGGGATGCTGATAGGCAAGCGTACATTAATATTTACTCTTCTCCTTTCAAACATGACTTGATCTATTTCCACTACCCCATATATTTATAAATGCCCAACCCCATTTGGCTAATTTAGTATTAATTTGCTTTAAAACTTCCCGCGTGTATGACCCAGACTAAACCCATAAATGCTAATTCATGGCTGTGTTATTTACTCCAGCCGATGATTCTTCACTGTGATTTACTGGTATTACACATTTAGCAGTATGTGGTGTGTTTGCACTAAAGTGGCCTATTTTTTCAAAATGAAAAGCCCACTTTTAATTGCATCTTACCATACAGTAGGCATTAGTTATGCTCACGTCCTTATAGGCTCAGCTGTTATGCGCTGGACCATCTCTTTGACTCGCATGCCCGTTTTTGGGTATAAACATGGATTTATGCTGTGAGTTAATGCTTATGCTTATTGCTTGTACCTTGCTTTGTATAATTTGGTTGAGTTATGGTGGGGGAATTTGAGTGGTCTGCATAGTTCTCCAGTAGGTGCCTGTGTGATGTATGGCGTGCCAGTGTGCCGAGTGAGGCAGACGGCCAAATGTTTTCATAATGTTCATTTAAAAGTCTGATCATTCGCCTCCACCTCTTTCTCGGTTTTGCAGTGCATATAGAAATGTTTTTCGTGCAGCAACACTTTAATCAGCCACATAATGCTCAACATCCAGTTTGATACTTTTGAGGAATATAATGCCACTAGGAAAAGTTTTTATTTGCAGGTTTACGTTTTTTTTCAGACGCGGAATTAGCATGTGAGCGTGAACCGATTGTAAATGCAATGGAAATTCCACATCTTTATGCATTTCAGAGGTGGCGGTCCTAATGAGACTCTCTAGTTTGACTCCAATATTTGCCTGTAAGAATACAGCGAGTTATTACAGACTTTTGAGATGGTTGCAAAATGGCGGTAATGAGAGAGGAGCGATCCTGCCCGCGAACGGCGATGCCCGGGTCGTATTCGCCTGCCAATTAGCCCGATATTCCTCCGCTCGTGTGGCACCGTCTTGCAGTAACCCCGAACTGGCACCGATCTAATCTAATTAGATCGAGAACACAAAAATGATCCCGGACCACTGGCAGAACGCACAATAAGGGAGCAATTTATTCTCGCATGGTGTTAAAAAAGGAGGGAATGGTTGAGTGCAGGCCTGTTGTTTTTAGCAGATTGTTTCCGCAAGGCCTGCTCCATATGGTGTCGGAGAGCCCTGGAGAAGGGGGTAAAGAAGAGCAAGGGGGCAGAGAAGCTGCAAAAACAAAACTTCTCCAGTCAACCCTCTCTAAATTAAAGGGTAATGCCGAGCACACCGCACACTCAGGAGTTGTTTGTTTAAAAAGCCAAACTGCATTAATCAATGTCTTCATCTTCATCGCTAACAGCATGATTAATCTGCTGTTTTTTCTTTTTCTTTCATTCTTTTTTTTTTTTTTAAGTAATTGCCAATCCAATGAGCAGCTTTGACAGAGTGCTTCTGACCACATTGTTCACACATTGAGTGATGCCTGCACAGCTTCAGTGCACAGCAATATTACGCTTTTGGTTCAAAGCCCAGGTTCAGTTGCATAGTGTAATGCAGATCGTATTACATGTTTCTGATGCAATATTGTAGCTACTTTAACCTGCAGCACTTGCCTTGCGATCTTCTCCCCTCGGACCTTCTCAGAAGGGCCTTTTTGGCCAACTTTACCGTAGTTGAATAGCGCCTGGAGGCCATTGACAGGAGCCTCATGTATCCTGGCCGTGTCTTTGGCAAACACAAACAGTAGCCTTCTAAAGATTTCTCCATTTGTTTAGAGGAAGTCCCAGAGGCTTGTTGTTATGCTCCCCAACCCCCTTCTCTTGTGGCTATCAGATGTTTATCCTGTACAAGGAGGGCAATTTACAAATGTAAGTGTTGTCACAACACAGGGGGAGACAAAAGGCGTCACGTCAGGCAAGGATGCACCTCGGTGTAAGAGCGCCATTATTTTGCAGATTAGGAGGGTTCAGGTGAATGTGGGACTGAGAGACTGTGATTTGTCTTTCTCCGTTCAGATCGGAGTTCAGGTCTCTCGAATGTCCGGAAGTGTGTACTTGATGATCGAGGATAGTTTTAGATGTCATATAATACAACTTCAAATCATACCGTTGGGTAGGCTTTTGATAAAACTGTAAAAGACGGTCATTGTGGTATTTTTTTGTCTTTTTTCTTTGTACTAGTTGTGTTTGATAAAACACATTGCTTTTATTTGGAAGTGCTTAGTGACTGATTTCAGGCTTTAAGCAATACATTTTACACCAGTGCCTAAACAGGCATGATTTGATGAAGCAAGAAGCGATAAAAGTTTTCTTTTCTAACCTATGGAGTGTATAACCTTAATCTGTTTCTCATTGGCTGTTATAGTGCTGCATCATACAGTATTTTTGCTATGAGCTTTGTGATAGTTCCCAAAAAATTTAAAATCTGTATGTGGAACATAAATTGACATTTTAATAAAGCGTTTTTCTTGTGCATACAGTGGAAGTCAATGGAACTTCTGATGGAAACCTGTTTGGTTTCCATCATTCTTCAAAATATCTTTTTTTTTCTTTCTATTTTTTTTTTTACAGATGTACGTTTATTAATACAAGTTTAGAATGACATGATGATGAATTAACTAAATATTTCGGTGAATTATCCTTTTAATGCTACTCATATATTACGCAACTTTCAAAGTCATCTTTTCAGACTACATAACTTTCTGTTGTCACTGATATCAGTTCTTGGCGAAACACATTTCACACTACAGGAAGTGTATTGCAAAGAGGCATTGACATTTAACCTGCTAAATGTCTTAAGGCATCGGTGATCTTTCAGGTCACATATTTGAACTCATAGCGACTGTCAATCATGTGAAAAAGCACCGATTTGCCTTTGCCTTGGATTGGTGGGCGATATGCCTAAACTGACAGCGAGTGTAATCAGGGCTAAAATTGTGTAGTTAAAAAAATTACAGAAAGTTAGGGTCAAGTTTTCCAACTATAAAGGAATTTGGTCACACTTTAGATTAGGGTTCAACTATATTAAAGGGATAGTTCACTTTGAAATTAATTTTTGATGTTTTAGCTTCAAGGGCGTCCAAGATGTAGGTGTCTTTGTTTCCACAGTATTTTCAATTTTGACATTTTTCGGTCAAACCGTTGTTGTCCGTCAGTCATATAATGCAGGTATGGGGGTCCACGTCAAAGAGCATGCACAGAGAAGTCAAAATTAAATATGATTTAATGACTCGTGAATGTAAGTACACATTGATGGCCTAAGACACGAAACGAGCGGTTTGTGTGAGAAAACGAACAGTATTTATATAGTTTTTACC